ATTCATGGAACGTAGATCGGCGCCACGAGGCTCTCGAATGATGGAGATGGATCATATTCATGGAACGTAGATCGGCGCCACGAGGCTCTCGAATGATGGAGACCGATCATATTCATGGAAACGAAGATCGGCGCCACGAGGCTCTCGAATGATGGATGTTTAGGAATGGATTGACTGGGGTTAGGTAGATCCTGCAGTTGCGATCCGAAAAAATCGATTGAGACGAAGAGAGGGCTGTTATATTTTCTGATGGGTCGATATCTTCCACAGTACCGCATAACCCTTTTTCTGCTTGTGAGGGAATAGAATATAGAGAATAGCCCCAGTGTGAGAGGAGGGCGGATTGCCAATTGTTCCTTCGTTCGTTCGTTCGTTCGTCTGTAGAAATATCGTGGCCGAATCTTTCATTTCTCTCTCTCTTTCTCTGGCCCCTTCGCGCTCTCTCACCATCGTGGTCATCAAATCTTTCATCTCTCGCTGCTCTCTCTCTCTTCCCTCTTCTCTCTCCTTCTTATGGTTGCTCACTTTGTTTTAGCCGCAACAGATTCGCCTGTTCGTCAGCTCCGATCGGTCTCTTAGACGTACCCCGGCTTTGTACATGTAGTCGATTAATTAATCAAAGCGATAGAATGGATGAAAGGGATGGGTGAAATCATGGACGTCTGAAGAATGAAACGTGAACGTGAATGAAGTGTGGCTGAACGGTGGTGAATCATGTGGGTGAGTGGACATCGAATTTACCAAGGAATTCAGAGAATCAAAAGCAGTCTATCGAACGAGAAGGGAAAGGGATGAACAGTGAATCAATAGTCAATCGGCGGGAGGACAGGGATGAGATGTGAGGGGCGCTTACAGTGAGTACTGCGAGGAAAGAGTGGATGCCAACCGGGAAGCGAAGGAGTATCGCGATTTGTATTCGATTGAAACGTGAACAGTAAATCAATAGTCGGGATTGTGTGTGCCTTTAAGAAAACTAGCGTCTTCCCCCGAACACAACACAACCTTATTTTGGCTGTATTTGGCCGGAAATATAGCTTGTATTCATACATTTTCAGAGTGCGTTATGTTCGGGGGAAGACTGTCGTCGAGATTTCAGTATAGCATCGCGATTTGTAATGAAGGACACATTGAGTGGCGAGGAATGAAGAAACACACAATGGAAACGAACGCGAGGGCAGTGATGCAACGTTACACACTGACACTCGAAATCTGATCTTTTACGTGAAGTAAGGCGCACGAGCGAAACGGACGGAAAGCAGACAAAGGAACAAACAGAGAGGAGACGCGGCAGAGAGACAGAAAGGGAAGCAACGATGTCACCCTTTCCATTTGAGTTTTGTCTTTGGGGCTCGCGCTCCACTCCTCACCAAATGTACAAAATGAGAATGAATCTTCCGATGGAACGTGGGAAGATACGCCGCCATGTTTTTTGTCTTTTGTGCATCTGGTGAGTAGTGGAGCGAAGTGACTGCTCCTCACCAAATGTACAAAATGAGAATGAATCCTCCGCTGGAACGTGGGAAGATACGCCGCCACGTTTTTTGTCTTTTGTGCATCTGGTGAGTAGTGGAGCGAAGTGACTGCCCCTCACCAAATGTACGAAATGAGAATGAATCTTCCGCTGGAACGTGGGAAGATACGCCGCCGTGTTTTTTTGTCTTTTGTGCATCTGGTGAGTAGTGGAGCGAAGCGACTGCACTGAACGAAAATATACTTATGCACAAGAGTCAAAGTGGATGTCGTTTGTTTATCTTCTCGAGGTGTATAGTTGCTCAAGCCTGCGGAGTGTGTTTCCGAAGGGAGGAGATGCATCGGAGAAAGGAGAGAGAGATTAATCCATCCATCTGGGTGCGGTAGTGGCGAAAAACTCGACCGCGGAGAATTGTGTATGTCGTTTTTCGAAGAGGGCAAACACTGGTAGTTTCTGTCGCAAGGCACAGAGAACTGACTACCGTCTTCCCCCGAATAGAACAATGTAGGGTCATTGTTTCTGTATCTGGACTGTAAAGTTGCCTGAAATACAGGCGCATAATCCATCTGGTTAGTGGCGAAAAACTCGACCGCGGAGAATTGTGTATTTCGTTTTCCTAAGAGGGCAAACACTGGTAGTTTCTGTTGTAAGGCACAGAGAACAGACTACCGTCTTCCCCCGAATAGACAATGTAGGGGCATTGTTTCTGTATCTGGACTGAAAGTTGCCTGAAATACAGGGGCATAATCCATCTGGTTTGTGGCGAAAAACTCGACAGCGGAGAATTGTGTATTTCGTTTTTCTAAGAGGGCAAACACTGGTAGTTTCTGTTGCAAGGCACAGAGAACTGACTACCGTCCTCCCCCGAATAGAACAATACAGGGGCAATGTTTCTGTATCTGGACTGAAAGTTGCCTGAAATACAGGGGCATAATGACCGTTCGTTGTATGCGGGGGAAAGAAGGTAGTTTCTGTAAAAAGGCAACACAGAAATCTCGACTACCGGTAGTTTTCTTAAAGGCACGCACAATCTCGTGCAAAGGAGTCGTGTCTGTCCCAGTCTGAAGGAAAAAGCTGGAGGATGGAGGCAGTAAGAAGAGCCATCCGGCGCACTTTCCGGTGTCTTCAGTGAGAAGGAAGAGGTCGAATTATAGTAGTTGTCTGAAGTCCGACCAAATATTGTTGTGCGGGGTTTAGTGAAAGAGGAAATCGAAGAAAGACCACCGCCATAGCTGATTTTATGGAAAATGTGGCGATATCTGAGATCTAAAGGAGATCGGTTCGATTGACCGCGACATCGTGTATGACCTGTCCTTTAGGACGAGAGAGAGAGAGAGAGAGAGAGAGAGAGAGAGAGAGAGAGAGAGAGAGAGATCATGGTTCTTAGCCTCATGTCCATCCATGGTGGGTAAGGAAACCCAGTATGCCTGTTAGTTCATGGTCTCTGTATATTCCGAGACTAGGTTGTGCCTTTCTCAGCAGATGTCCTGAAGTTGCTCTGAGTGTGGACCATACATTGCCAAATGCCGTCTTTGGTGGTCAGCGGCGATACTGCAGGCTAATGTACTTTTTACTTTTCTGTATCCCTTATTATACCTTCCGTTACAGTGACAGGCGACTATTGGATGTCCCAACTAGCCATAGCCCAACGTTCCAAGGGGCTCGGATCCTCCGCCCTGGTCGATGTATTTCTACCAGCAGGCCACGGATTTTGTACTTCCTGCTGCTACTGGTCGCCCGGTTTTAGGGGCAGGAGGAATGTTGGCTCACGTCCGCTTCTCGTATGCTGCAAACTTTGCATTCCCTTCCGCCACCGGTCGCCCGATTTTCAGGAGAGGGACTGGTGGTTTCAACGCAACGACCTGCCACCAGAATGTACAAAGCTAAGGTGCTAATGGCACACAGGTTGTAGCACCCACATGCATTCTGTTGCACAGTATCTTTTAACTCTTTCTTTCAGGATTCACGACTGCAGGAACAATACCTTCCGTTACAGTGACAGGAATGAGGTGTGGGAGGGGGGAAGAATCGTCGGCGACCGTATAGCAACCACGATTGTTGAGTAACTGTATGATGCCCGAGGCAGCTTTCCCTGATTCGTCTGTTTCTCCTTGCTGTGACCTCCGAGTCTGTGTGTCCCAGCCGCAGCACGTGTGCTAATGCGGTGGCCGGAAGCTGTTGAGGATTGGGCAATTCATCCGGTGTGCATTGCTAAACCGCTTTCCTCCGTTCTATTTTTGGCAAGAACTTAGCCACTTGGGTTCCATGAGTGTTTTCGCACTATTTGGGGGATGGCAGGCCTTTTCTCAATCTCGCCGGCTTCCGTGTCTGACGAGGGCAATCTGACTGTTTGTGGTAGTTTCTTTTTTGGGGTGCGAACAGTTGGCGACAGCCTGCTGCGTTTTCTTCACGAGCATCTCGTGTTGTAGGGAAGCCGATGGTCTATAAGATAGCCATCTTGGGGCGGGGAAGGGTTAAAAAAAAAGAAAAAAGAAAAAAAAGGTTGTTCCTGCAGTCGTGAATCCTGAAAGAAAGAGTTACAAGATACTGTGCAACAGAAT